TCTGCCCCTGAAAAAGTGAGATTATTAATAACACAGTAATGGTGGAAAATGTGAGCTCTCGAGTCAACTTCTGTTTTTAAGCCCTGGCTTTTCCACTTACTAGCAAGGTGACCTTCAGCTTACTTCGCTTTTCTCAGCTTCACTTTTCTCATTATCTGTGTTGGGACCCACAGAGAATGATGGTACCTCCATTCACCAGGTGACTGTAAAGCTCTAAGAGGTAACGAACGCAAGGAAAGTGCTTAGCGTACTTCAACATGCTACCCAATAAGTGTTCAGTAAGGATTAACTGCTATGCTTTCTGTCTTCCTCTACAAGCACCCACCATGGCCGCCATCTTGGCCACCATCATTAGCACCACCTCTGCCCCCCACAGGAAGATAAAGAAACTAAGTCTTCAAGACAGACTTTTTCCTGAGCTACTCAATGACTCGGGGAGGGTGAAGCCATTATCTTCCGACCATACCATTCTCCCTCCCTGGAACGCCTTTCCTGCTTCCTCCCTCTCCTCGTCGTCCTTCCGGTCTCAGCTGAGCCATGTCTTTCTTCAGGACCCCTCCTTTGAGCCCTCTCACATCATCTCGCAGCTCCCTGTATATCCCCGTCACAGGACTTCTCATCCTGCAGTGTCATTACTTGTGGTCCTCTGTCCCCTATTGGTCCAGGTGTACCTTAAAGGCAGACACCAGCTGTGTGTACCTCACATCTGCATTCCAGGGCAGAGCACAACACCAGACACACACGTGTGGAATGAATACTTAGTAAATGGAAGGCTGATGGCAGACTCCTTTCACACCATCCCACCACTACACCGAACAGTACAATTTCTCACTGGAGCACTGTTTGGGAAGTCAGAGACAATCATATGTGGCTTTTTGCCTTCCGCTGCTTTTAAATAATCTTAGCCTTATGATGAAAACTCAAGGCAATCTTAACCGAATTTTAATGGATTCCATTTCCAAAGCAAGTAGCTTAACTTGAGAAAATAATGCCTTGAAGTGAGGCTTACATTATGTTAACACACGTACATTCATTCATTTTACGCCCCACACTCAATCACAGAGCTATGCACAATGCTTACACAGTTACCAATCCCTCAGCATTTTGAAAAGGGCACCGTCTTTGTACTTGGAAAGGATTTTTCAGAAACAGTTGGATTTGATGAGGTACAGCGAAAAGCAGTCTTCCTCACAACAAAGCTCTTCAAATTCTGACTCTGAACGGTCTCTTTCCCACTTGCCGCTTTTGGGAATTTTCGAGTCTGACATGACACAGGTCAGAAAAAACGTGACCAGATAACAAAGTAATCCAATCCCTCTCGTCCCCTCCTTCTCGGAGGAGGCAAGGAGGGAATGAAGGTCGGCAGCTCCAGGGAAACCCATTTGAAATCTAGTCTTATCTCATTAAAAACAGCAACGGAGGCCAAATCAAATGAAACTCAGACCCCCAATCAAAACCGCATTAGAACACACTGGAAAGGTTACCTGGCTGGTAAAAATGAAAGAAAGGTTCGTTGAAATCACAACAGATGTAAACTCTTAATTAAAATAGGTCATACAGAAATATGTGGAATTTTTCTATAGCAAGGAAAGAGCTATAGACTACCTCCCAACACAAATACCACAGGTATTTTTTAAGAACAAAGCCTACTCTCTCTTTTGTTATATAAAAAAGCACAGTAGCAATATAGCCTGTGTGGAGTCTGTATAAAAATATAAAGCTAAGGCAGCATAATTCTCTCAGGACCCCAAAGCTTGACTTGACTCACCCATCCCCTTTGGCTGATAGAGAATATACAGAAACACATATCCATATACATAAGTACACACATCTGCTCTTCATTTTCTTCTGCCTTTAAGTCTTCGACCACATCATTCATTTTCCTAGAGTAAGTCTTCACCTGGAAACTCTTCTTTCCCCGTACCTTTCCTTAAAAGAAACTCTTCTGCAGGTCTTACTCCTCGACCTGACTCTGAATTTCTATCCCTCTCTGTCACAAACTCCACCTCAGGAGAGAATTCTCCGATGACTCTTTTTCTTAAGTAAAAATTAGAGTCCCTTTGTACCAGAAGGGCCCCAAACCACAGCCGCATGTGAAGTTGTAAAGCTCACCAGTCTCTCCCCATAGTTTGAAGAAAGGAAAGCAAAGCTGGCAGAAGCCTTCCCGCTACTTGATCCCAATCAGGTGGGATGGCCCCGTGGTCATATTAATAAGGCCTCCAAGCATTTATTCCAGGATAGAAGTTATTGTTTTTCCTATGTAGTAATTTCCCGATTTCCTAATTCAAAGTCACCATTTAGTAAGGCCCTTCATTCTTCACTGTCCAGAGTAAGAAGCCCTTGCCTCTTTCTTCACCTCCTGGCCCAGTGCTTTTTCTCTGTGACAGCAGCTGACCCATCTGTCTGATTCTCTAGCCCAGTCTGCATACTTCGCCAGCATCTACACAGTCGGATCTAGTCCTACAGAGCCTCGCCTCTTTCCTGGTTAGCTTTTTAACCAGTCATTACTTGTCACTGTTCTGTACCAACACATTTCATCAAACCAGGTTCTGAAAACAGTAAGTCAAATGGTGCTTATTATCTACACTTTCTTTATAAAACGGGAGTTAATTGATTTGCGTCCCCCAGAACAATTTTTATGCGGCTGGAGCTATTCAACACTTCCATATTGTTATTTTATGAAGAATAGTAGGTATAAATAATAATACTAATACCTTTATTTCCATAGGAGCTTTCATCTGGATAATTCATGCTTCGTTATTCTGCTACTATTCTGTGTCTTGGGTTCTCCCTTGGCTCCTGTGACAAACACGGGGTTCAGATCCAGACTCCAGGAGGAAGTGATGCTTCAATTTTTGGTGACATACAGGTGCATTACACACGCCCCAAGTCCCCCCCACAGCCTCTTTGGGTGAGGTTGTTCCTGGTCTGTCAAAATCCAGACTGATAACGGTAATACAGCCAACATTGTAAAACTTCTCTGTGGCTCAGCCTTTCCCATTGTTAGTGGGCTGCCTTCAGCTTTTGGAGAGCAGAGGTTCCCAAAGCGTCGCTTCCAACCAGCAGCAGTGACTCTCTACCTAAGACGCCACTAGAAATCAAACTTTTGGGCTCTTTCCCAGTCCTTTTCAATTAGAATCATTGGGAGGAGCCTAGCAATTTACATTTAACAAGCACTTCAGGTGGCTCTTGTAACCATTAAGGTGGAAAACAAAGGCCAGAAAACATGTGAGGAGTTTTGAGGAAGCTGGGGGCTGTCAGGAGGACTGACCCTCATGTAGTTAAAGAGGGATCATGAACGCAAGGATACAAAGCTTTTGAGGTAAGGCTTCCCAGCGTAGGGCTAGCAGCAACGGGTCTGGTACACAGAATTTTAAAGCAACTGGAAGTATTCAGAAACGGAAACGGGTCATATCCCCAATTAGAAGAGGCTCCCTTTCTCTCAGTGTCCAGAGGTATTAGGATTATACTGTGGGAGAATCTATGAATAAGGCAATACAAGAAGTACTAAAAATAAAGCTACAAGACTGAAAAACAAAATAAGCCTTAGCAAGAAGCTTCAACATACCACTAATATGGAAAGACAGGTTTATAATTTATTTATTATCATTAATGTTTTAATATCTCAAAGCTATTACCTTTAAAAATGATTCTACTGATGCTACATAGAGTAGGTAATGGATTTTCATTTCCTAATGTTTTGTTTCATATTCCGAAAAGGGCAGCAGTTGGCTTAGACTCTCATAAGATTCCATATATTATCATATGAGACATTTATTATGTAAAAGAGGTCAATTACCACCATCCAGAACTGATAGTAGACCAGGTATTAAGGTTAGGGTGTTATTTCTCCTCTGTTTTGTAATGAAAACCACCACCTTTTGACGGTAATGATTTTAAGATACAGATAAATGAACTAATATTAATTAAGATACAACCAAACATTATGTAGCATTTATTACATACTTGATACTGACTACATCACAAACACTGTCATATTTAATACAGCAACCTCAGGAAATTCAGCTTCGTTATCTGTATTTTATAGAGGAGGCACCTGTGCTTAGCAAGGTTAAAGAACTCGCCCAAGGTCACAGAGCTAGCAAGTGCAGGTGGAATACAAACCCAGGGGTCTTCAGTGTCAGTGTTTTCAAACTGCTAAGTTTATTTGTTAGCATAACTGTGAATTCTAGGGATTTGGAGGGCAGAAAGAATGTATGGCCCAGTGCGAATAATACTTCGGACCAGTTGGGGCTTCTAGAAATACTAAAGAGAACCAAACAACCCCTTACTGATGTTAAATCTAGGTCAGGTACTTGACTAACCACTGTACAACTATCGTACTTAATGCTTACGACAACCACAGAAAGTTAGCTGCTAGTATTATCCTGACTTTACATATGAGCGATTACGGTTAGATGATTTAATAAGCCATCCTCTTCATAGAGAATTCACTGCTCACGTATTTAAATGGAAATGAAGCAAGAGAAGTAAACAGCATGACATGTAAGAATCACTCAGTACATGTAGCTTCGCTGCCCTTATACCATGTTCCCAGGCAAAAGAATGGTGTTCGTGGTGATTCACCCATTCCTTCTCATCTCTTTTCTTGCTTTGCTTTAAATGGCAGATATTAGGGTGCCATATGTAGCCATGAAAGAGAACTAAGTTGAATGCCTTCTCCACATCTTCATACATGTCAAACTTTAGCTCTCTGAGGCTTGCACCAAAGACAGTGGCCAGGATGTGACCTCAAGACGCTTCCATTTGGAATAGTAACAATGAATGACCTTAGAAATGAGACATACCCCACACCCATTGCCCAACAAAGGGCTGTGATATGCCAAGTTGCTCCAGCCAAAGAACCTTGTGTTAAGGATGTAGATGGCCAACGTCTCTCAGAGAGAGTCAGCAAAATGAATGCTTTTTCTCAAGACTGCAAAATTCCTCCAGTTGGGAGTTCAATGAAGGTTGATTTCATTTTGTAACATCATGGGAAGAGCTTGGTTTTATAGATCAGATCTCTGCACCTCTGTCTTGTCTCTATCACAAACCGGCTAGGTGGTCATGGGCAAATCGAGAGCGCCATTTTCACAATGAGGAAAAAAGAAACTCATTCTCCAATTTTTTGGGTGCAGAGTAGGTAAGAACTTTCTACAAATATTTTGTAGAAATATAAAGTCCTTTCACAAGTTTCAGATGGCATTACTATTTTATGTAACTCTTTCCTTGCTTAAAATTAAGTTACAACCTATCAACCTGGTTAAACCAAGTTGGTTCACCAACAGGCTAACTTAGAAGACACGAGGAAGAGGGACAATTTAAACTTGATAGTTAGCTCTACCGAAGATACCTGTGGAACTGTTTGCTCAGTTGTTGTGATGGTTAAGAGGGATTCATTTCCATTGGCCTTACATCCCTGTAAGCTTGGCAAATCCTCAGATCAGTGAACATCAGAGTATGAAATAGCCTGAGAAGCCTTTCCATGCAAACCAAAAGGATTATCACCAAACCACTATGTCACTAAACAGGACACAAACACTCTCAGTAGCTCAAAGGGAGGCTCAGTAGATTGTGCCAAAGATGCCTTTGGGTTCCTGTTCAGATTTCAAGGTGCCAACTTACTCTCCCTTGCATGTCTACATGAGAGAGTAGCATTTGGCCTCTATGGAGATTAGTTGGGACAGCAGTGAAAGGGGATAGTGTGAAGGACATTTTTATGCAAGGAGAACAAAAAAGAAATTCCATCTGGAGTTAAGTGTGGAGAGATGAATCAAAGATAGTATGTAGCACTATTGACTATTTTTACAGTCTCAGTGGGAGGATTCAAACTAGACACTCAAGAGCAGAGAGGAAAAAATTCAAGAAAAGCATTTCTTTGGTGCTTTTACATTTATCTTGGACTATGGTTTCCTGAAATTATCTGAAAGATTAAAATGGCTTTGTGATGCAACACCATCATACCCCTTTTCCTATTATAGTTCTTTTCTTAAAATATTTTGTAGGTCAACACACATGGGTAAAACTAAAGATTACAAGTATACATTTTCCCTGGACCTATACCTGGAAAGGCACATTCCTTCTTTCAAGTCACTAGTGTGGGACCATGAAGCCGATTAATCTGGCTCTAGATCACCTTACCAAATTTACTTTCAAGACACCAAAAACAGAGCTTGTGGAAGTTGCTTAGATGAGAACTATGGCTGGGAAGGAAACTGAAGCTTCTCAGACATAAAACATGCTGTACTCTCCGAAGCCAAGATCATTTCGTGGGTGGAAGCTGGTATTTTCAGGCTTATGTTTCTCTGATAAAACACACCCATGTTCTGTCACTAGCAGCCACACTGCAATACACTACACTTGACCAAGTGCCCCCATACGTACACCTCTCCCATTGGTCTGGTTGTCAGAATTCCACTGATTAAACATTTAAAGACCAGCTTTGGCAAAACATGCCAGAAATTCCTACAGGGTAATTAAAACCACCTTCTGTGTCAATAAACACAGACTACGAGATCCTTCATGTGCAAAGGGGCTGGCTCTGACCCTCAGGCTCTAGGACATTTTTTCTTAGATGGCTTTTCCACCATCGAAATAGATTTTCACTGACTCACCTAGACCCTTTCCTGGCCCCCTTATGAAGTGATTGGCTGAGGTCAGAGACACCATCTTTCTTTTACTGTTTCAGCCTAGACACAAGACCAAAGTCTCTGAACCCAAGGGCCGAGCTCACTGCCAAAGCCCCTTCCCACAGACCTACAGCTAAGAGAACTCAAATGGAATTCTTGTTACCAAATTCGACAGTTAAGAGTCTTTACGTGCCACTACTCCTCCAGGGTTCTCACCGATTTTCCTCTGAAGAATGATTAATGTGACTTCAAAGGAAAAGTAAGAACTCAGGTGGATATTTACTACGCTGATAACCACAGACTTGTTCTTTGCACATAGTAGACATTCCATGAATTGTTTTTCACCATAATGACAGCTTTATTATTCCTATTACGTAAACCATGTTTATACTTATTGAAAGCTATCAGACATTAGAAAATAAAAATAGTAAGAATTAAAATTTCATCAGCCTGACCTAGCCATCATTCATATTCTACTAAACATTCTTTCCTTGGAATTCTTTATGGACAGACACAGAAGTTTATAGGAGAGGAATCATACTATCTATACACCCCTTCCATCATGGATGTGGTTACCTTTAATTGTTTAATAGTCTTTTTTATACTTATTTCTCTCCTCCCCACATACCCAGTGGTAATAAACTTCAAGATATTTTTTCATACTTGGGTCATCATATACCAACTTAGACAGCACGAGTGAGGTTTTCGTTACTTAACTGATACTTGCTGAAGGGTTAAAGAGTAAAATAAAAAAACAAACACAGAACCAATGAAATGAGTGACAGAATAATAGGCTATGCTCTTAATTAGCTGCTACAATTTCCAAGTGATTGAAAAAATCATATAGCGCATCTTTAAACTCCAGTGGGGGTAGGGGAACCTAGCCTTGAACATGTCTGGATGGAGTTGTAAGTTTAAACTCCCGAGTAAATATGCACCTGGCTACTGTCCTAACTAGAGACATTACCAATCTCCTCTCCAACTCAAATCAAGTTCAAAACCACTTAAAAAGTGCCCGTGTGCCAAGCAGCTCACTGTCCTCTGTAGGATGAACCAAGGAGGTGAAGGGGTGAGGACTGTCTTCCAGCGGTTTCTTTCTAGCTGGGGAGGCAATGTGCAGGCTATCTGAACTTGGACTTTGGTGTCCACATCCATGAAATGGGGATAATATCTGTATATCCCAGCACTGTTGTTATGATTTAAAAAAAAAAAAAACTTGAACTGAGAAAAAATTTCTCAGGGAATTTTTCAGGGAAAATGCAGAGTCAAGGCAGGACATGTAGGTACCAGGAAAGGGGAAATTGTATGTACAGAAGCAGGGAGCAGGGATGGGTGGGCGGTACTGAGGACTCAGCACAAGCTCGCATGGTTGACTTGAATGTCAGTTAGGAGAGACTCAAAGAAATGAGGGGACAGGCAGGAAGCAGTAATGTTTACAAGCACAGGACAAAATGGTCAACAGCCCAATCTTCTTAAAGGGCCAAACACAAGCAGGAAAACATTTTTGCCTTTTCAGCACGTGCCAATGTCTAGATCAAGGCCATCCAAATGAGTGACTCAAAGGCAACCTACTTGTCAAGTAACTGGAGAAAGAAGAAGCCTGGCCCACATAACAGGCTTAAATCCAAGCTTCTGAGACTTATAGGAAAAATTCTGATCGGAAAATTTCCATCTCAAATTGTGCTGAGGAAGCTCAGGGACTGAGTAAGCACGTTGGCAACAGAAGCACAATATGATAATCAGACTGCTTTTGCTTTTTTTGTTTTTCTTTTTTTTACCCCTGTGCACAGAGTTCTTCAGGTCCCAGGGAGACCTCAGCAAGTCTTTGATCTCTGACCTGTAAAGGATCAGAGAGCCTTCAGGGAAACACACCTCATTCACAAGTGGAACTGCATGAAAAACCTTCTCCTTACATCTTTTCAAGTGACCAGAGGGCTCTGACTTTCAAAGCATAGAATGTTAGTTTCAGCCGGCCTAATCCTACAGAACTGGGATGGGATTAGGTAATCTTGCAAGATACGTCAGTTGGGAGCACTCAACTGTGCAGTCTTTTCTGTTAGCTCAGGGTTCCAGTGCAGCTCTTCCCCGCTCCGTCGTATTTCTTTTTTTGAACTGGTACTGGTGATGACTTCCTGGAAGCATGCTCCGATGGCTCTGTGCCGCCCTAATCAATACTCACTCTCGCACCCCATCGCACCTGCCCTGACTTCCCAGACAGAAGAGAAAGGAGAGGTTGCTTTTAATATTACACCCCCAAGTTATTATTGAAACTTGATGTTTCTAGAAGATGTTTTCATACTTATAACCCTTTAACAAAGCAACTGGGTCTCTTACTGACCACCACAAATCTTTATCCATTCAAATGACCATCCATCCGCCCAGCCCATCAGCCAGCTAGGTATCTTCCGATTTTTATCTGCCTAACTCTTGGGTCACAACCTATGTTCAATTTTTTAAAACGTCATAAAGATTTTAAATTAAAAAAATGTCTCGAAGACTTTGTATTCTCACTTCACAGGAAGAAACATGCCCCAAATACTCAAGCAAATGGATTGAGACTTCAAATCAACTCCCACCTACAATCCCCAGCAACTGCTGAAATACAGACAGCCCATTTATTTTGAAAAAGGACCAAAATCACTCACTAAAAATACAATCCCAAGATGTTTATAAGATTTATACTTCTCAATTTCATTAAATTATGCACCCAACTTTTGGAGGAGAACTAGAAATGTCTGCAAGTCTTAAGTCAATGATAGGTAAAGTTTAGTTTCCTTGGATTTACCTGGGTTCAAATTGCATTCAACCACACATAGTATTAATAGAAAAAGAAGGAACACAGCTTTCAGAAATGTCAAATATGAACCCCAGGAGAGGGCTAGCTCATTAAACAACCATACTGGTTGTCGTCATGGGTCAATCATTCTTTGAAGTCACCTACTTATCAGTTTGAAGAAAATTAACATTTCTGGGTCACCGGGTTCCATATACTTATCTACAATGGATGCCCTGGAACCATGAAAGTCATTTTATTTAATATAGGTGGGCAACTAAATCCCAGGGAACAAACGACTCACCTATGTATTTAATGGCAGAGGCTGAGAATTGAGCTTGCTTCCCCTCTCAGATTGGGTAGATGTATGTGGGCTTTGGGGAAGGACAAGGACAAAGGAGTATATTAAGCGTCAGTGGTTATATCTTGATGAATTTATTTCTAATCTTCACCTGCATAAATTCCCTCTGAAAATCTATGACAATGTGAGGTAGAGGAAAAATATAGACCAGGCAATGGTGGGAAAGGGCCACAGCTACTGCAAAGGTCTTCCTTGGTAGAGCTTTTTCTAGAGAACACAGTAACTATTGTCTAGAAAAACTTAATTGTTTGCATCTAGAAAATTACTTATACCATTTAACCCAGGAATCTTGGCTTCAGAAATCTGTTCTAAAAAAAATAACTAGAAAAAATAACTAGAAAGGATTTAGATTCATGCAATTATTTATCACACAATTATTATAGCAAAATATTGGAAATAATCTAACTTCCAACATTAGATGAATGGCAAAATTGTGGATGAACTATATGATGTTACAGAAGAAGGCTCACAATTTTATTTAGAATCAAAACAACAACAGATATGATACCATTTTACATATAATTCTAGTATTATCCTTCCACTGCCCCTTTCTCTTTTCTCTTACACACACACACACACACAGTCTGGAATACATTGAAAATATTTGTAATGATTATGTCTGGCACTAGTGGTAAATTTTATTTTCTTTTTTACAGTTTTCTTTGTAGTCTAAGCTTTCATCAGTGAACATATATTTTGTTCTCATAGGCTCTTTTATTTTTCTACATAGTATTTAATAAGATTTACATTCATATGCTTACGTTTGTATTTATTTCAGGTGTGTCTTCCCAATAGAATGCAAGTTCTATTTGCCCAGTGTTTTTTAGCATGATGCCTTGTATATAATAAATATTTTACTAATTCTTTTTTTTAAGATTTTATTCATTCATTTGACAGATAGAGATCACAAGTAGGCAGAGAGTCAGAGATAGAGAGAGGAGGAAGCAGGCTCCCTGCTGAGCAGAGAGCCCGATGCGGGCCTTGATGCCAGGACCCTGGGACCATGACCTGAGACGAAGGCAGAGGCTTTAACCCACTGAGCCACCCAGGCGCCCTTTACTAATTATTTTTAAGTGAGTATGCAGTGAACATTGGGGGGACATACTAAAGGAGGTGTGCTTATATGCAGGGATTCTAATGACCTATTGAACATAACAATGTGTCTAGTCTCTAGCTCAAACAGCATGCTATTCTCCTTGGCATACTTTTGTCTCCTAATGTCACAAAAGACCGCCCCCCCCCCATGAAGACAGCATTTGTCCCTCCTCATCACTATCAGAATCCCGCTAAAACCCGACTTTGACCATAAGCCATTCCCGTTTGCGAAAGCTTTTCTCTAGCACTTAACTGCAATCATTCACTTGGAAGGCCAACATTTTTTGAACTTCTATTGGGTTCCAAACATTTTTTTTTTTTAGAATGGGAGTATTTTAGAATACTTAAATGGTATAAGTAATTTTCTAGATGCAAAATACCATCCAAGGGCCAGCACTTGATTCTGTAGGGTTTCTTGCTAGAATACAGCCACGCCCACATGCAGCAGTGGCAGGGTTCAGTAGCTGGGCATAGACTGTACAGTCAGCAAAACCTAAAATGTTGACTACCTGACTTTATAGGAAAGTTTATCAACTCCTGTTCTAGAATACATATACTTGTACAAAGTGGAGATACCAAATTATTATCCTATTAAATAGTTATTCTAACCTAAAGCTTATGTCTGAGAGTTTTATAAAAACAACAACAAAACCCAAACCAAACCCAAACAAAAACACATTATTTTAACATACCTAAATTTGTTCTTCAGAACATCCATTTTTGTGTCAGACACACTTGAGTTTTAAGTACTGAGTTTGCTGATTGACACTGGGAAGATCCTACAAATTCTTTAAGCCTCAGTTTCATTAGCAGTGAAATTGGAGCCTATCCCCTCATTTCCTTAATAAACATGTAATGGGTGCTATTTGTCAGGTACTGTGCTAGGAGATGACTATTGGACAATGGTGAATAAGACCTAAAAGTGTCACCTAATTAAGCTTTAATTGTACATACTTTCTGAGGTTTGCTGTGAGGATTAAATGAAACAGACACATACATGTGCACAGATCTGTATCATATACACATCAATATAAGGCACAAGATGTACAAATAAGCATACTATGCAGTACATCATATAGAATATATAGAGGACAGAGAACAGTACTCAATTCCTGGTATACTGCGAGCACTCAGTACCTGTGTCTCTTCCTCTTCACCACAGATAAAATGGAAGCTCTTTTTCTTTTTTTTAAAGATCGATTGATTGATTGATTGATCGAGAGAGAGAGTTTGAGTGGGAGGAAAGACAAAGGGAGGGTATCTTAAGCAGACTCCGCACTGAATGGGGAGACCCACTTCGGGGCTCGATCTCGCAACCCTGAGATCATGATCTGAGCCCAAACCAAGAGTGGGACGCCCAACTGACTGAGCCACCCAGGAGCTCCATGGAAGCTCTTTTAACGGACTTCTAAGAATCAGACTCATTGGATGAAAAAAATGCTTTCCACTGCCTCTGTAAAATGGGCCTACAGGCTGCTGTCTACTCACAGCTAAATTAGCAGACTCGTCTCTGGGACAAAGACATACTCCTGCTTCTCGTAGCTGAGGCGCATGTTTACTACAAGGCTGTTGTTTTGTCCCTTATCTCATGATGCCTGTTATATGTGTTAGTTAATAAAATATCTCGGAAGGTGATGAAAAGAAAGGTGTGGAAAGTTAGGAAAGGATTATTTCTTATGAAAACTAAGTCGGATGCTTTCAAAAGATGACAAAGAGCTATGGGGTTAAATGTGGGAGAGAGAAAAGGTTGGGGCCAGTCGTAAAAAAATCTAGAAAGATCGGTGGTAAGTTTGCTTCTCACATGTTTGTACTGTTATTCACCTCAAGGAAACCGAACTCATGGTTTTTGTCATTTTGGGTGTGGTTTGTAGAAGAGAAATAGAAGCTCCAGTCAGCAGACTCACATTCACAGATGAAGCCTTGATGCTTCAACAGACCCTTCATCAAAATTAGGCAACGCTATTTAAAATAGCATTTAAACTTTTTTTTTTTTTCAGCCTTAATTTTTCCAGCTGGCCATCAACCATTGTTCCCAAAAGCATGGAGTAAGAGAGGCATTCTTTTGAATGTATTTCTCACATACGAATAATAGCATGCTAGCATGTTGCCTCAACCCCTGCCATGTTTTCTAAGTAGAAGAAATAATGGGAGACAGAGTGACCTGTCCAAGGCCACAGCACAAGCCCTGCCAGAGCCATGCGGGGTCGGATTCCACCACCTCAGCCACCTGACAGAACAAAGACGCAAACACAGTGCAGACTCACATAGCCTGACTCGGAGGGCGAAGTGCATTTTGAGCAGGACAGAGTCTTCTCTGCTCACATCCGACA